GGTAGTTTCTCGATTACTTGAATCTTTGCTCTATCCACTTCAATGCCCGTCGCCGAGATTCGATGCCCTAGTACGATGCCTTCTTATACCATAAAGTGATATTTCTCCCAATTGAACACCAAGTTGGTCTCCGTACACCGTTGTAGCACAAGACTTAGATGCTCCAAGCACTCATCAAATGAAGATCCAAACACAGAGAAGTCATCCATGAATACCTCGATGAATTTCTCAATCATGTCTGAGAAAATAGTCATCATGCAAAGCTGAAAGGTAGCGGGAGCGTTGCATAATCCAAATGGCATCCTTCTGTATGCAAAGGTGCCATAGGGGCAAATGAAAGTGGTCGTCTCCTGATCGTCTGGTGCCACTGGAATCTGATTATACCCGGAGTACCCATCTAGGAAACAGTAATGTGAATGTCCCGCTAATCTCTCCAACATCTGATCAATGAACGGTAATGGAAAGTGATCCTTTCGAGTAGCTGTGTTAAGTTTACGATAGTCAATGCAAGCTCTCCATCCAATCACTGTCCGTGTAGGAATCAACTCATTTTTCTCATTTTCTATCACCGTGATTCCTCCTTTCTTGGGGACAACTTGCACCGCACTGATCCATGCACTATCTGATATTGGATAAATAATGCCTGCATTGAGCAACTTCAATACCTCAGCTCTAACCACTTCCTTCATGTGTGGATTCAATCTCCGCTGCCCATCAATGCTTGGTTTGAATTTTTCCTCCATGAGTATCTTATGCATGCATATAGACGGGCTGATCCCTTTGATATCTGCAATTGACCATCCAATGGCTGTTTTATTCTCCCTTAGCACCTGAAGCAATTTCTCTTCCTCTACCTCACTGACAGTGCTTGATATAATAACTGGTAGTGTAGAAGATTCCCCCAGGTACGCATATTGAAGATGTGGTGGCAGTTGTTTGAGTTCCAATTTGGAGGTTTCACAATAGATGGCATTGATTTTGCAGTCCTAGTTCCCAGCTCTTCATAGTAGCGTCTGTGCATATATGGCTGGTTACTCTCCAAAAATCGAGCACATGTCTCAATCTCACTTGAATAAGAATGGGTGGATTGTGAATGTGCAATGCATACCTCGTATGCATCGGAAGGATGATGTAGCCGAAATGTGTCTTGAACTATTCGGTCGACTACATCGATCTGGAAACAACTGTCTGACTCAGTAGGGAATTTCATTGCTTTGAACACGTTGAATGAGATTTGCTCGTCACCAAGCCTCAATATCAACTGCCCCTTCTGAACATCTACAATCGCTCTCCCAGTGGCTAAGAAAGGTCGCCCCAAAATGAGTGGAACATCCTTATCTTCTTCCATGTCCAAGATAAGAAAATCGGCTGGAAATATGAACTTCTCCACTTTTACCAGCACGTCTTCAATGATTCCTCTTGGATGTGTAAGGGATCTATCTGCTAACTGCAATGTCAATGTTGTGGCTTTTGCTTCTCCCAAGCCGAGTTTCCTGAGAATAGAAAGAGGTATTAGATTAATACGTGTACCCAAATCACACAAAGCTTTATCAAAATGACAGTCTCCAATAATGTAGGGTACAGTAAAACTCCCTGGATCTTTCAGTTTTAGAGGTAGCTTTCTCTGGATTCTGGCGCTGCATTCCTCAGTCAACATTACTGTTTCGTGTTCTTCTATCTTTCGCTTGTTGGAGAGGATATCCTTCAAGAATTTTGCATAGCTCGGCATCTGGACAAGTGTTTCAGCAAATGGGATGTTGATGTGCAGTTTCTTGAAGACTTCAAGGAACTTACTGTATTGCTGATCCATTTTATGCTTTCTCAACCTTTGTGGAAACGGAATAGGAGGCTCATGAGGGTTAACAGGATTAGTATTTTTACCCTGTGATGTCTTGGAATTCCTCTTAACCTCATCTCTTGTTGCATTGTCAGTTTGCTCCACAATTTCTTCCTCCAAGGTTGGCGTTGATTCCTTGTTGGCTCCCGAACTTTTTACATGTGGTTCCGACAGTTGTACTCCACTTCTGGTTGTTATAGCCTTTGCATGTTCCTTAGGGTTAATTTCAGTATTGCTGGGTAGGTTTCCCGGTGCTCTACCCGTCATGGAAATTGCCATCTGTCCTACTTGTGTCTCCAAGTTCTTGATCGCTGAACTTTGATCTTGAAGCGTTGTTTTTGTCCTTTGCATAAATTTGTTATTAGCTTCCATGTACTGATTGGTTTGTGCCATAAATTTCTCGAACATATCCTCCAATGGTGGCTTTTTGTCTTACTGCTGATATTGCCCTTGTGGTCTGTTTTGATTCTGATTAGCCCACGAGAAATTTGGGTGTTTTCTCCAGCCTGGATTGAAGGTTTCTGAATGTGGGTTATTCTGCTGGCGTTGACCCCATTGTGCGAATTCTGCATGTTCTACTCCTTGTGCTAGAATTGGGCAAATAGCTTGAAGGTTTCTGAATGTGGGTTATTCTGCTGGCGTTGACCCCATTGTGCAAATTCTGCATGTTTGACTCCTTGTGCTAGAATTGGGCAAGTAGCAATACTGTGATCTACTCCACATTCTTCACAACTCTGCTTCATAACTTGCTTAGCAGTGGCGGTTTGTGAAATGCTTTCAACCTTATGGAATAAGGAATCTATTTTCGCCGACAGTGCTGAGTAAGTATCTTCTTCATACACCCCAGGTGCTCTCTTCTGAACTACTCGATCTGTAGACCACATAGCTGAAGTTGTAGCCATCCTCTCAAACA